CATCTAATTGGTGATGTCATTAATACGTCCAATAATTAATTTCAAATAGTCGCACCTATATATCTTAATCAAAGTCAACAGATTGATGAATCAGTTTTAAAATAACATGTTCATAATTTTCAGTATTTTGATTTACAATACTTTTATATTGTAACAATTTCTTATATTTCTTATCCCTAAAAGATCAAAAATAAATTAATAAAATCATCTATTTCTTTGAAAAAAAGATGTACTCTTGATGAAACACAAACAAAACGTTCATCAAAACTACAGAAAAATACAATATCTTGCTTAAAAAAAATAAGAGAATTAAATTATAAAAACTATAATCAAAATTGTGAACATGCTATTTAGGGAAATTGTATGTAGGCAACAAAATGTTTTATTACCATATACCCACTGAGAGTTTAGACTGTTGTGTTCGAACTTGCAGTGAAGAATGTAACCGACAGTAATAATTGTAATGAAGGTACAAAATGAAGGTACAAATAAATATGTACAATTTTAAAATGTATATAAATATAGTAGATACTTGTGTAGAGTTTAGATAATAAATTATTTATTTAAAAAAAATCGATTCCTAAACAATAAAACATATATAATATATAAAATTATCGTGTCGCAGTTTTAGTTACTTACCGTACTCCTCGGCTTGACCAATTTTAATGAAATTTTAAATTTATATTCAGTAGTCTGAGAATATCAACGTCTGAGAATAGGTTCTTATCTATTTTTATACCCCTAAGTGATAAGGGTGGTCCACCCAACTTTTTTTTTACTTTTACCTTTTACCAAAAAAAAATCAATATACCGAGTACTTGCCCATCACTGACCTTAGCCACAGCAACGCGTGGCCGGGTCTGCTAGTTAACATATAAAACAAAAATCACTGTAACAAAACCTACAACAGCATGACAAGAATCTTAAAACTTGCATTTTATTTATATTCAAGGAGACACCGGACTCCAACAAGCCGAAACAAATTGACGTTTTAGGATGAAAATTATACTCGGAAATTATACTTTTAAATGTACAAGCTGTCTTAATTAGTAAAGTATATTGTGAGTAGACGATAATATGGCAGGAAACGAACTGTTTTTGGAAGTAACGCTTGTTAACTTTCGAAGGTTAATATTTATTAAATAATATGGCTAAAATAAAATCGTTTATTATTGCTTTTGTGACTGTCATAATCAAATTGGGATTACTTTTATTACTACGTCTTAGGACTCTTAATTGATTTGTTATCTACTCGTATAATGAGGCATTACACTTGATTTGGTTTTCGAATGGGCGATTAGTTTTAACGATAAAAGACCTTGATTTCGTACTTTTGACCGAAACCCTGATTATGTAGTGAAATATTGACCATTCCACTGTAGAGATGAATTTATGAATAAAAGGTATTGAACTTTTAAAAGTTAATTATTGACAGCCACATCAACATAGTTGTTTAAATAAATTTGAAGCTTGATTTCAAAATACTGTTCGTCAGATCCATTTTTCCATTAAACAAAACTGTTTAATATCATATTCGGTTTAATCGGAAGCGATCCTATGCTAAACATTTTAAATATCACCCTCTATATTTTTCACATCAACGAACCAAGTTTCAAAATCTCTAAATAATATTTATACAAAATAACCATTAAAACAATCCGATTCTAATTCAATTGGCATTCTCTTAATCTCTTTTTTAAATAGTTTTAAACTTCCAATTTTTCATAATCTTAGAGGTAACTTATATCACTTAATGCACATAGGTATACTCTGGGTTCCTTTCAGTAAGTTCAAGGCGATGCATGTGATCGTAAAGATGCTCCATTTTTGTGGTATACTTCATTTTATTTAGGACTTGGAATAACCCTTTATAGTTATATGCAAATATAAGACATTCGTATACACAAATAAAAAAGCAAAAAATGTTATGAAGAATGCATTTTTCTCAAAATGCCAGTTGTTTCTCTTGAAAAGACAATCCAAGGACATACTGTAAAGACTTTTTTGTCTATACACATTTTTAATGCATAAACTTCCAAAATCCCCAGTTGTCTGAAAATTGATCGACATATTTCAGTTTTCGTTTAACTCTTATAATAGGTTTTTGACCAACATATTTGGCATGTTTTTAACAATGTTAATGACAATAATTTGTAAGGTTAGATACAAATAGACAGATTTTTCACATTTAAAATTTGATTGTTGTAGGAATTAAATGACAGAAATGGACGTCGCGTCAATGCGTATTTCTAACTACGTATTCAGTAGGCTGTCTTTTGGCCTTTCTGTCTCGCGTGTCGTCTTGCTAGCTCGTGTGTCCCAGCCTTGAATTTTTACACCCAGCGCGTCTAAAGAACTTAAACTTCAGAAATGTTCAATGTTGTTTGTGCATCTTAATTTGCACAAACACAAACATGGACTACCAGGGAACGAGAGTAATATCATGTACAGGGTGGGTCAAATTCGACGCTTTTAAATGGAAACACCCTTTTCTATAGGAGATCGACAAAAACTAATATTGCTGTCTGGAGCTCAATTTTTGTCACAAACATGATGGTGAAAACCACATATCGATATATATTACCGTTTCGGAGTTACGGGGTGTTTTTCAAAACTTTTTTGCTATGGAAAATTTTGTATTTTTATGAAAACATTTTTACGTAGAATTTAATGGTTTAAGTATAATTTTTTTAAAGTGAATAATTTAAGAATTATCAACAGAAAATATGATTTTTTATATGGGACACCCTGTGTATTTTTAATTTATTGAAAATAATTTAAAATTACCTTTCCAAAAATATAACACACTTGATATTTTGCTAGATTACTCTTCGAGATAAAGAGTATATATAAAAATTCGCCCGCTTTAAATACGTATTGTATAGGCTTTGAACGGCAACGGCTGTAATGCAAAAAAATTCTAGCTGTGAGCATCAATTAAAACGAAAATAATATTTGCTGAGTGCAGAATTTTATAACAATTTAAAATATATTTAACCAACATCAACACATTTAAACTATATCTAATAACAATAAAAATAAATAGCAAACCAAGACATGAGATTTTGCTACAGGTGTTCGACTTATCAACCGTCTTCTGTTATGGGCAGACGGGGCAGTTTTTGAACATTTCTCGCGGAATTCATTAACTCAGTGGGGGTGAAAGATACCCTTTCACAACTGCTAAGTATTTCTAATTATTGTCTAGATTATACGGAAAAATAAGGAATCTTTATTCTTTCGCAAATATATCCATAGGATTAGATCCATGGGCTCTAAGTCAGGCGGCCTCGACGGCCAACGACTGGGATCTAGGTTAGCTATTCAATTATTCTTGAAATTGGCTGCAGAAATTTGCTGATAACTTCAGCGTTCAGAGGCGGTGCGTCGTCTTGCTGGAAAAATATGTTTTCGAGTTCCATTAAGGACATATCGTCCTATTGCTGCCAAAAGTCACTAACTAACATTTTTCTGAACAACCAAATTCAATCACTAACTATGTTTTGAAGCGGAGAATCGATTGCAAAAGTCATTAACTACAATTTCTGGCTATTTATGTTTTATTTTAATACCGAATAGTTACTACCTATAACTATAAAAGTAAGTTAGTGACTTTTGGCAGCAATGGGACAATATCATCAATAAGGGGTCCAAAGCTTACTAGTTAAAAGTGGCAAATTTTTAAAAATTCTATATTTCGAAGGGGATTATAACAAAATATTAAGTGTGCTATATTTTTGGAAAGGTAATTTTAAATTCTATTCAGTTAATTAAAAATATAGAGGGTGTCCCAAATAAAAAATCAATTTTTCTGTTCATAACTCTTAAATTATTAATTTAAAAAACATTATACTTAAACCATTAAATTCTACGTAAAAAGGTGCTTTGGAAATGTTTTCATAGAAATACAAAATTTTCCATAGCAAAAAAGTTACAGCGATTTGTTAAAAATGCACATTTTTGAAAAACACCCCGTAACTCCGAAACGGTAACAGATATTGATGTGCGGTTTTCACCATCATGTTTTTGATAAAAATTGAGCTCCAGACACCGATGTTAGTTTTTGTCTATCTCCTATAGAACAGGGTGTTTCCATATAAAAGCGTCGAATTTGGCCCACCCTGTACTCTATTATGACAATTATTATTAGCAATTATTATTATTAGGTCGACTGCATTTGAAAATAGTGACAGGTTGTGACCAGGACCTACTTGCCTTTTTTGATAATCAGTACCTATTGAATTATATTGGTTTAAAAGTTATCCGCTCTATGTAGAAAAAAATATGTATAGACAAAAAAGCCTCTATACCGATTGTTAATAAATTAACTTGGCTATGAGAGAATTATACCAAATATTGAAAGTAGGTTAGCTGTTCGGACTCTATGTATCTTACATGTCTAACTAATGTATATTGCAAATATGTAAACTTCGCATACTTACAATACAAAGTAAGTCTTAAATAAGTGCAAATATTTTCAGGGTTGGTAGATCTCGATAAAAGAAACATATTTTCTCTTTACCGTTTTTCAAATAAGTCCAAAATAACCGAGTTATTTTACTTTGAAAATTTCCAAAAAAAATATTTTCTGCTAAAATTTTGAGAACCATTCGATTTTTGCTGGATTTTCTCTCTTGTAAATTTTATTGCCATATTATGAAGAAAATATGTAACTAAAAACTAAAAAAATATTTCTTTTTAAATAAATTCATAATCGTGTTACTGGGGTCGAAATATACTACCCCTAAAAATATTTACATTTATTTAAGACTCACCCTGTACAATATATAAAATATTTAGTTGAACCGTTATTGAAATAAGTCTATAATTATAATGTGATTTTCGTTTATGTATTACAAGCAAATATATCTCTAGGGAAAGGCTAAATAAAAAAATACACAAAAATTTAAAAATTAACTAACTCCTTTTTTTCCATACTAATTCGTTAAAACCCGATATAAAAAAGCACAAAAATCTGTATTAAAAAAAACCACTCTTACCTAAATTACATAAAACTCCCGTAACAAACACGGTCAAACACAGAGCATAGTTCATATATTTCACTTCGCGATTCATGGTTGCTTGTTGTCGGAATAATATAATAATAATACATGCCCAATGAATAAAAAATCACAAATAGTTAATGTAATATATTTTGACCTTCCACTAAAAAATCATCATAAATGCGTAGCACGACGCATTTGCAGGTACAATAAACGTTAGTACTAAGTCCCCACTAGCCTGAAACCTATGCAGGGTCCAATTTTCAGACGATGAATTGGAAAAAGTTCATCCTCCACTTTGCTACGGCTAATATAATTTAAAGCATGTAATTCCTATTACGTCAGATGAATTATTCAGTTACTTGCAAGTATAGGTATAGAAGATACATACAATACAATAAAATTACAACTTTTTAGATTGTTAAACTGAAAATCTTAAATTACTATGATTTTAGTATGCATATATTTATGAAAACAATTTTAGTTTAACAAACTACTTTTTCGGGTCCATACCTTAAAAGGAAAAAACGGAACCCTTATAAGATAACTTTGTTGTCTGTCCGTCTCTCTGACTGTGAAGACCCTTTATCTCGGGAACGCATTGAGGTATCGCGATGAAATTAAAACCATACACTCATAGACCGAGAGCTGGCTACATAAAAAACATTATCATCATTACATGGCTAATTTTTTGTGTGAGGTATCCTTTTGTGTAGCCATTGTGAAATTATCATGTCTGCCAGCGCGATCCCGGGTCTTATAGCGGGGGCGGCCAATCGAAAGGGTGAAATTTTGACACTAAAAATATTATAAGATACATGAGTTATAGTTGCCAAATAGCTTTTATTTATTATTAGGAAACGTGTAAAATTGTTGACAGACATTTTTCTCGTGGCTGAAATGCCGGCAGACAACGCGAAAGAGGCATAGAATTTTGACAAAAGAAAATCATCGCATACATGCATGTCGGTTGGTGGAATGTCATGTTTATTGTTAATTAATTTAAAAAGCCTTATGTAAAAGGGCAGACAAAAAAATCGTTATTGAAATAATAAAAAAATATATTTATAATATAATCGTATATTATATGATTTATCTATACTTAAATGGATGAGGCGGCCAGCGTTCCCTGAATAAAGAGCTAGAGTAATATCGCGCTTTTGATAACTGTCTGCAGCTGATTGAACCACGATCTTTTTGTCTGCCCTTTTGCATACGGCTTTTAAAATAAATAAATATGACATTTTACCAATCGGCATGCAAATATGCCATAATTTTTTTCATTCTTCAAATTTCATTTTTTAATAATTTTTAATATTTCATGCTTCTTTCGCCTTGTCTGTCGGCATTTTAGCGACTAGAAAAATGTCTGCCAACAATTTTCCACGTTTCCTAATAATAAATAAAAGCTATTTTTGCAATTATAACTCATGTATCTTATAATATTTTTAGTGTCAAAATTTCACCCTTTCGATTGGCCGCCCCCGCTTTAAGCACCGGGATCGCGCTGGCAGACATAACTATTTCATAATGGCTACACAAAAGGATACTTCACACAAAAAATTAGCCATGTAACGATGATAAGGTTTTTTATGTAGCCAGCTCTAGACTATCAGGTCTAACAGTCACTTAGAGCTGTAAAAAAATCAAACTTCTAAGTTAATGTAAAAAAAATTACGGCTGTAATTTTTTTTACCTCAAAAAGCTGGCGTGGCCGTGGGTCAACCAAGCAGCCCGCCTTTTTTTGTTTTGAAACTTAGTTAATCCCAAAAAAAACTATATACGGGTTCTACAAATTCGGGGTACGAGCATTATAGTATCTCGGTAACCGTAATAGATACGAACATGGTTAAATTGGGCTGAAGTTGCCGCTTTGGGATGTTCACCAAGATGCCAGCAAAAAAGATTTAAAAATTTCAAGGATCGCTGAGTTGTGAGTTGCTTGAGTGAATTTTTTTGAAAATCAATTTTATTTTTTCCTGTCGTTATTTTTTAGAAAATGAAAAAAAATAATTGCACATTTTCATAGGCACTTTTCAAAATTTAAAATTAGCTGATAATTTGTGAGATACAGAGCCCAACTTATTTTTTTAAAACGAACCTGCATTTTTTATTACAGGTTTTGAAAGAACTCGGTCTCCTGAGTACAATGATATGCTACACTTTATACTTTTTTTTGTTTTGGGTATCTTAACAAAAACAACTTAAATATTCTTTAAAATAATTTCAAGTCCGACTCTGATTATATCGGAACAATACTGATAAGCGCTAATTAACATTGAATAAAAAAAATCGAGCCAATTGGAAGATTCAAATAAATAATATCCAGGTCAGCAATTTAAACATATTATTTTTAACTTTTTTTATTGTGAGTTTGAAATTTTATTGTACGATCTAATAATCTGCATAATATTAATCTCAGTTATTATAAATAAATGAACTTCTACAAACTAGCTTATAATGCTCTTGTTTCGAAAGGGTTACTCCCTATTACACGAATTTATTTCTCGTCCAATTTTATTTTTAGCTCTTTGAACTTTCTTCTTATACTTTCGAATGCATTTTGTACTCTCTATTGTAAATGTTGAGATGTATTGATTTCACTTTTACAAATAACGGCAGGTAATCCCCCCTCCCTCCCCTTGGCGACAGGTCCAGGAACCTCGCTGGCCATTATACTGCTCTACCATTTAAAATCCATCTTCCGAGAAAATGATTTGATTGTTTATATTTAAGTTTAAAAGCTTATCAATATTGTAACGATGAATAAATTAAATATTAAAAAAACAGAGCCGGACTTATATTAGTTTAAATAAATTGTGTTCAAATGTCCGAAACAAAAAAAATAAGTATGGCATATCATTGTACTCAGGAGAGCGAGTTCTTTCAAATTTTTGAAAATACTATCAGATAGCCCTGATAAAGTGCAACCAAAATTAGAATGTGCAATTATTTTTTAGAAATTGATTTTCAAAAAAATCCGTTTTTCCAAAAAACTCAGCAATCCGTAAAAATCTTAAAACTTGTTTGATGGCATCTTGGTGAACCTCCAAAAGCGCAACTTTGCCCCTATTTAACCATGTTCTATTACAGTACAGCTATTACAGTTACCGAGATACCAATGCTCGTAATTGTAACAGAATTTGTAGCATCCTGTATTTGCACTTTCAAAATTTATAGGGTATTTCCCGTTTACCTAGAACTATGAAATTTGATCAATAGTACTGTCTTATACTACAGTACACTGTATAAGTACACATATAGGGAAATTAAAATAACTTCCGTTGCACATCATAATACGACCACTAGCAAACTCCATAAGACAACGATTGGTGTCATTGATGACGTGCAACGGAAATTGTTCGAATTTCCCTATAGAAACGATACAAGTACACTGAAAACGATTCTGTAATTAAATAAAAAAAAATATAGTCTTTATTTAAAGGTGACGATTGGAAGTCTAGCACTGTAAGACGAAGACAAGACTACATATTAAAATGCAAAGGAGTCTTGATCTTGCGCTTCCTGGATGCCCTCATTCCCATATTACTCTAAATGTTAAAAGTTCATAATGACTTTTTAAAATTTGGAAAGTCTTACAGTATATACCTTTCCTTTTCCCTTCCATTTCCCTTATTCGTCTTCTCACATTTCTCTTGTTTCTGTCCTTTCTTAAGTTCTAGTTGTGTGTATTATAAAGATTGTCACATTTTGGCTTGCTCTGATATATAAAATAAAAGTAACAATAATGCTTATACAGGTTAGCACGTCCAAACAAAATAAGAAAAGGTTTGGCACATTTATAAAATATTTTTCTTTTCAAAATAAAATATTTTACCTAGATTTGATTAATGGTTGTATTTTATTAAGTAGTTAGTTGTAGAAATAAAATAATATACAACCCCCGAAGAAAAGTTAGCATTACCATCTCGAGATTTAGTTAATATCTCGACAGTAATGAAATACTACTTCACAAATTAAAAAAAAACATAAAAATGAAAATATGCATCAATCGCTTAAAAATCAGTGTCTTTTGAGGGAAAATTAAATCTGTTAGTGTAAATTTGGGCATCAATTAAAGTAAAATTTAATGTATTAATAACATAAAAATAATAAATGTAAAAAATATAACTTAAAAATATTAAGATGTGAAATAATAAAATAATTAAAGGTAATACGATAACAAATTGTAAAAAATCTAATAAAAACTTTATCCTAGCATACTACAATCAATAATCTATAAAAGAAAGTCGAAGTAACTTTACTATTTGCTAGCCATTTACTTAAAACTATTCCAATTAATTTAATTCTTTGCTTTGTTTCTTTTCATCATGTATCAATATTTTTCATTGCATATCATATATTCCTTTGTTTATTGGAAATTTATACAAATATTAGTTTACTACTACAAAGAAAGCGACAGTTACAAATTCTATTTACAAATAATTTAAAATATACGGTAATAAACCGTATTAAAGATATTTTTCAATACCATAATCAAAAAGACATATAAAATGACTTTTATACAGATAACTCGTCACTTTCGCCATGAACCTTCCCTTAGCTGTTCTGATTAATACTATTATAAGACAATATTTTCTTTATACCAGATGCGTAGTTCTACTATCTGATTTAGAAAATAACATAAATTTGCAAATTAAAGTACCTTTTATTAACATTAAAATAGATAATGAAAATTTTAGCGAAAAACAGAAAATATTTTTTAATAATTTTGGATGTCAGAATTTCATCGTTTATGTAGACTATTCTGTATCAACTTTTATCAATATAGAAAATGAAATAAAAAATCATAGCGAACGATTCAACGAAAGAAGGTTTGTGTTTGTACAGACTAAAAAAACAGTGGAAAATATTTCACAGATCTTTGAGACAAAAGAAATTTTTTATGTCCCAAACTTAATCATTATTAATCAACTAACTAGTTTATATAACCAACATAAAGAAAAAGGAATATCAGTAAAGCAGAAAAATACAAACTTCAAAATAAAGACACATAAATATACAGGTTGCTGTAATAATAATGAAATAGTATTCCTTGATCAATGGTTTTCAAAGAACTCTTCTTTTCTTTATGGTGTGAATTTATTTCCAAATAAATTAACTGACCAGAAAGGCAGAAGTGTTAGAGCTGCTGTTTTTACATACGAACCCTACACAATTGTTGGTAAGTTGTTCTATATTTTTTGTATAAATTTGGAAATTGAAACATACAATAAGTATCAGTTACTACGTATATCTTGATCTAACTTAGAAAAAAATCTAGATAAAGATATTTTGAGAAATGATACAACGCGCACTAACGACCTGGCCGTTGGCTGGTATGCCGCTTGTTGCCGCTTTTCTTCCAAATTAATAATTTTTCAGATGAAATCCTTTAAATTTAACGCAAAATGTTCTATAAGATATAGTGTTTTTGTGTAGTTTTTGCACACGTGTAGAAAAAAAAAGAATTAGTATACAGACTAGATCAAAGGGAAACTTAAATCTAGTCTTTTTTTATCAGGGGTCGATTCTAGAAAAAAATCAAAACATTTCTATATGATATATTCTATTTATGGTTGATATGATACCTGTTATTATACTTTCGAGTTTCGATGGTAAAAATTAAAAAAGCATATTTAAAGTTTCTTTTTGATCTGCCCTGTATAATCTTTCTATTTTTTCCTCTACAATGTGTGAAAACTATACTAATTACCTACTGTAATTACCATTAAGATTTTAAGTGCATTATTTAATATTAGAACATTTAATAAGCTCATGAATAGGAACTTCGCTTTTTAGTTAACTCGGATATTTTAAAATTTCTGAAAACTATATTTTCTAATTGGTAAAATGTAAAAAATCGTTAGAACTGACAGCCCTGCTGAAACTGGTCGTTCTTCTGGATGCATCTATGTACGCAATATATCCGACCAGCTAACCGTCCGTCGCGTCAGTGCCTTTGAGCTCTAAGCTCTAAGGTATTTTCCTCGGTATTTTTCATCTAGACACTTCCTCCTTAACAGAAAATAACTGTTGTTTCCTTATTGTAAATAGAACCACCATATATTTTGTATATTTTAGATTCTGCAAGATCAACCATTTTCAAATTTATTTTTACAAAACCAAACTTTTTTGACCAATAATTATTCTATTTTGTGCAGAAAAAGATTCAAATAACAGCTACAGATATATGGGCTCAGAAATGGTAACTTTACTTGTTTTTTCTCAATATCTGAATATGACATTAATACCTGTAATCAATGAAAACGATTACTGGGGAGAAATTTGGGATAACTGGACTGGAAATGGTTTATTAGGTAATCTTGTCGAAGATAAAGCTGATATTGGTGCAGGTAAATTTTAATTTTTTAAGACATTACAGATATAGAGTACCCGCATTTGAAGCTGACACCCTCGCGAAATCAAAGACATTATTGCATTGCGAACGATCCTTGCTTATGATTGTAGTTTTTACCGATCCATGAGTGTAAGCTTCATAAGAAACATTCACATACAAGTTCATAGGAAATCCCAAGGAAATTCTAAATATGAGAATGAAAACTATCGCATTTTAATTTTTCTGTACAAGTAATTATATAAATGAATCGTTTATTATTAAAAGGGCATATGTCTTGGCCAAAAATTACATTTTCATTGCAAACATTACTGTAAATCAAAACGCATTTATTCTTGAAATGTCATAACTCCTTCTTTGCTCAAGTTGATGGATTATTGTTTAATTTTAAATGGGCATATGTCCCGAACTTGTGACCATTTTAAAACAAATTCGTCATACGTCGTCCTAGTATTTAGTTATAATACGATTTTTTACAAATTTCTTTTTGGTTGTTTAGTTTGTTTTTTCAGTTTGTCCCTGCATAAATGCATTTTTTTAATAAAAAGTATAATTATCGACTTTCTAGTGTTGTCGATCCAAAATAATTTACACTGTGTTTTTTAATTGGTACTAATTATTATTGGCTAAGTATAATTATTATGGTTGAAGTAAATCGTTTTTCATAGTGCTTTTACGTTACCAGGGGGTAAGTACATGAGGCAATGTGGTGTACAACCTAGAGGCATTGCGGGGCATTGTGGGGCATTGCCGGGGTATTATGAGGCATTGTTGGGAAATACAAGGTATTGTGAGACATTGAAAGGGCAATGTGGTGCAATATTAAAGCTAGGTATATAGCGCGCGCATCCTCCCACCATCACTTTGATTACGTCATTACGTCACCAACACTCAAACGGCTTGCAGCCGTCAGCGCAACGGGTCAACGCTCTAGCTCCAAACATCTTATTGTTTCGGAGTAGTTATTATCGCAGTATGTATATGGGAGTTCATTTTAAGCGATACCACTGTTGCTATCTCCAAAATGGAAAGAGGTATACGGTCGGTTAAATTAGGGAAAAGTTGCCTGTCTGCAGTTTCCTATACCTATACCAATAAATATAAACTGTTCGTCTGTTATTAGTCCTAAGTTGTTTTTACCAAAGCGAGAGAGAGAGAGAGAGTTTAAAAAATAAATATTTCGGAAATATATTTCTGTTATGTGTAGTTTTTAAACAAAAAATATAAATATTATGGTTTTTGTGCCTTTAGGTAATTTATTATGACAATGAAATATATAAGAACTATGTAGGGGCTAAAAAACAGTGTTTACCCTTTTTAATATTATTTGTCTCTTTTCACCACATCCAATGAAAAGAGGTAGATATATATTGCATTAGGGGGCATTGCCAGGCAATATTGGGCAATACGGGGCATTGTTGGACAATACGAGGCATTAATGGGCAATACGGGGCATTTTTGTGCAATGTGGGGCATTGTCGGGCATGATTGAGTAGGAAAGGGGCATTGCGGGGCAATATTCGAGTAATCGAGGCATTCATTGCCTTTTGGTGTACAGAAATTGGTCATGTACTTACCCCCTGTTTGTTACTAAAAGGGCACAAAAAGGAGAGAAGGTTTTTCGAAGGTTTAATGTTTCTGCTGGTGAAAAGTTAAAAAAATGTGGACACGTGATCTTTAAATAATAAACGATTAAATTTTAAATAAATGTCCAATAAATAATCCATTCCTTAGCCCGTGATTAATTTTCTAATAACAGCACAGAGGAAAATTCAATGTAAATATATAGAAAGTATAGGTATATTTCCTTCATAATAACGTACCTGCTTAAAAGTTGCTTAAAAAATCATCAAAATCGTCCCACTAGAACAAAATATACTAATTTTTAAAATACATCAAAATTTTAAGGTGCCCGTTTTTCGTGCCGGTGAGTGTAAAATATATTGGTGAATTTGACGATCTTTGGGCAATAGACTTCATTTAAACATACAATCAAAAAGCACAAAATTGCCTCAAAGCATTTACCAATAAAAAATGAAATATTGATTTAGGGTTAAAGACAGAAGGCGGAAAAAGAGAAAAAAAGAGAAAAATTAAAAAAAAAACAATGAAACGAAACTCTGAATTTATATTGTATTCGAATACTTCGTTGACAATCAACTGCGTTCTAATGTTTGCCAGAACGAAATACTTCGATTATTGATATTTGAATAGTCCTAGCCTTCACTAACTCTGTGCGCATGTATGAGAACACGTGCGGTAGGTGAAACGCGGATACTTAAAATCAACCAAAGGTGACCATTATTACAGTTGAGGGTTGGAACCTTTGGTGTTGCAACAGCAAAATAAAATACTAAATCACCACAATACACCAAAACACTTTTACTTTTTTAGGTGTATTGTTGATAATTTAGTGTTTTATTTCGCCAAAGGTGACTAACTGGGTGCGGAACAAGCTGTAGTCTGGCTTAAATTAACAAGTTTAAAGGCTAAGTAGTTTCAAAATTAATGATTGTATTTTAGCTGCTTTATATACATGGGAAAGTGCCTACAAATTTCTTGATCTGTCAAAACCGACTGTAAGAACGGGTATAACATGTATAGTACCAGCACCTAAGTAAGTAAATCTTACATATAAAGCATGGATATTTCATTTTTCAATTTTTCTTTCATATTGTTCTATGTATGTTTTTTTTAAATATAACTGTAATATTTGGTTTTCAACATTTTTTTTAGTAGCTAATCTAAGTAATGTGTCCATTTTGAATTTTTATTTCAATTTAATTATTTCTGCTATCTTTCGTATGGCGTTACATGTAAATAATATTTATAAGAATAACGTATTTAAAGAATATTTTAATTTTATTTAACAACATAAAATAATTAAAAAAAATTATTTTAGAAATAAAATAATACTTGTATTTTTTTAGATTAGCGGCGGGATGGTTGATGCCCTTATATGCTTACACGCCTGAAACATGGCTAGTTGTAACTGCTACTGTAATAGTATGCATTGCATCTACATTCGTGTTTGGACTTTTGTATCTCTCCGAAGATAATAAACATAGGTACCACATGACCATCATTTTAAAGCTGGTTTTAAATCTAAAACAATTTATAATGTAATTTCCCATAAGAATTGTTTATCTGTTATCTGGTATCAAGACTGCCCTCTAACTCCATTCAGAAGGCATTTCAAATCACACTATAATAAGAAGCATTTTGATTTTCTTCTAAAACTACATGTTCTATAACATCAGATCTCCCCTTAAATCTAAAACTTTCTTCGCAAAAAAGTCAGTACTTCCTCATAGATTTTGCATCTGAAGAATCGGCGGATTGGTTGGTGGAAACGGCACCTTAGCTTAAGAATTGGCAGAGGCCGGGACTAGTTGCAGGAGAAATAATCCCTAAAGAGGAGACCATCACGGTCTTTCTGCCGATGAGCAAAAGAAAAGACAACACCTACCTGCTGAGCCTTATCCAGGCTCAGAACTCCAATGTAAGGAGATCGAGTTGGCGAGTCATCTACTCGAGGGAGGAGCAAGCGCGGTTTTAGAGGAGGAGTAATGGGAATAATTAGCTCCTTTAGATCGATCAAATTTAAGAAAAATAAATTATTAGATTTTACATAACTTAAACGTCAAATGAAAAAATCCTCTTTAGCAATTCATTATTATATATCACAGTTCTGCTATAATAAGGACGCTTTGTTAGAACTAACAAATAATATTCAAATTTTTTAAGAACTTTTAGAATTTAGAATGAGTGGGAGGGTTAGGATGCCTTTCTTGAGTTATAACTCATCATACAGTCCCAATGCTTTGACAAAAGCCAGTATCTGGGACGGTTTTATAGAGGGTAGTTCTCCATCTCCAATATCAGTCGTACCAAAGTTCATGGCAGGAATGGTTGTCGTCTCGGCGCACTCAGTGATGAGGTGTACTGGTGTTTCCCCATTTTCCCCACAGAATCTGCATTCGCCGTTTCTTCTTAGTTTCAATTTACTGAGGTGTCATTGTGGAGACAGTGTCCTTTTATAAACCCCGTGACAATCCGAAGATTGTTCTTAAAATATCTTATATAAATCTTAAATCCAGGAAAATCTTTGATTTTTCTTGATCGTAAGCTCTCAGAAACTTCTTCGAGTGTCTTAGACCGTTGCAAGATTCCCATTCCAGGTTGCGGATGGAATCTTCCAAGTTCTTGAGTTCCGCCTTGAGTTGGTTACCACTTGGAAAGCAGAACGGTTCTGGTCCATTTAGTGGAGTGTTCGCTCCTTTTCTAGCTAGATAATTTGCTTTTTCATTGCCTTCTATCCCTTGGTGAGCAGGCACCCAGAGTAGGAGGACTTTGTTTTCTTTACCTAATTTATTCAACTTCTCTATGCATTCTTTGTCCAATTTCGAATTGATTGATACTGAATTGATCGCTTTCAACGCTGCTTGACTATCAGATAAGAAGCTATTTCTTGTTTCCGATAGTTCCTATCTAAGATAAGTTGTACACATCTTTCGATAGCGTAGACTGGTAGGATGCTAGGGTAGGAGCCCATTGGTTCGGAGTGTTTAGTACATTAGTATTCGGCCCAAATACTCCGATCCCTGTTCCCGCATTGGTTTTGGAAGCATCAGTATACCAAGTTATGGTATGGTCTTTTAACTGATGGGCAGACGTTTCTCTCTTCCAATCCTTTTTATTGCTTAATACTACATTGAGATGTTTCTCAAAGTTGTACGTTCTTGGCATATCACCCACTGGGAGTTGCAGGAGTGGTATTTCCTTTTTGAGGGTGTTCCAAGTCCCTGATCTGAGAATTCTCCCAGTAATGATTCCGTTAGTGACCATTCTAATCATTGTCGCATTGGCATATCTACCAATGATAATGTGCAGTGGTGTTAGATCTAGAATGGCCTCCATTGCTGCTGTTGGACAGGTTCTCATGGCTCCTGTGATGCAAACGCTTGCTAGTCTCTGGACTTTGCACAGGTTTAGCCTTGCCATCCGTTGCTCTAGTTTTTTGTACCAGGCAACTACTCCATACGTAATCATGGGTCTTACTATCATGGTAAATATCCAGCGCAAAATGTTAGGGGAGCACAATTTTATCAGTCTTCTGCATATCATGAGAACCTTTGTGGCTTTGCTAGTAATGTTCTTAATACGTCTATTCCACACAAATACGTTAAAATAATATATACGACGGCCTCCCCATAAGAGCAATGAGAGGATTTACGTCCCAGTATTGAAGGAGGACAGAAAATCGAGTCGAATGTTTCAAGACATAGGTTCATCCTTGTTTAGTCAAACTTCCTACAATACAAGAATAGACTTATGTAGGAAACGCATTGAAATTCTATAGCCATCCTTCAACATCGGGACAGGAATTTAAGCGGTACCCTCCGGATACTTTATTTTAAACGTATTTGATTCCACAGGAGTTTACTGTCCAGGGTTATTCCCAGATATTTAACTTCCTGTGATGGCAGTATTTCCTTTCCATCTAGTTGGATAGGAAATTCAAAATTTAAAATCGGTGTAACTATCTGAAAACTTATTTTTTTAAGCTCGAAAGAAAATTGTGTGTTCTACGTAACACTCCCTATGTATCCGTCACGTTTATCAGTTTAGAGGATTACTCCTCACATCCGCTTGTTTAGTGAACGTCGTGAGGCAAATAAGAAAACTAACTTTTCTCAACAGTCGAAGAGTCCCAATAACCACTGCTTTCTACATATACATCGCCAGCTGCCCGGATCACAGCCCGGATCACCATCGACATCATAAAATTTTCTGAAGTTCGGTTAAGAGCTCTTATCCCTTCTAAAACGCTGACAATCTTAATAAATTGCAATTCAAGATATTGCCTGCGCACCTCGACGATCAGTTCGAAGTACCTACTTGTTTTAATTATTCTTTTCTATAATCAATATTTCAAGTCAGTAAACTGACTGTGGTACACAAAAGTATTTGTTATACCAACATGACATGCAAATAAGATTCCTCAGTCTCAAATTTAAGGCCAGCAGATTTAAGAAAAGCATATTTAAGAAAAAAATACTCTATTTTTATTATTATTATTTCTATATTAATGTTTTATTCTTAATAGAAATTTTATCGCGGTGATTTACCCACTGATCTTCCACTCATTCTACATTATACAAGTATACTTCGTAAGTACCCGAAAGTCTATTTCATTGTAATCATAAGCAGAAAAATGCTTCGGTATAAGAAGATAAGCTGAGACGAGAAGTTAAATGAGAAAACACGAAATATCGCCCTTCATTATTCGACCTTGACCTACTTCGGCTTATTTCGCGTGTAGGGACCGTTTTTAAAGGACAATTTTAAAAAAAGACAATATTTTCCTTGTTCATTGTTAGGACTTCTTTTATCTTATGTTATGTAACAAAATCGGATTCTAAGCTTCAGTGGGGATTCGCATAAAGGGACGATCAAAGCTGCTTCTGACTACTCGCAAATGTAGGACAATAAGCAGATATGTGACACACGGATGGTTTAAATCAAGTGATCATTTTCGTTAACAAAGCTTAATAATTATAGCTCAGAATTCAACTTGTTACATAACATAATATAAGTGAATATCTAGGTAGGTGCGCAGATTTCCATGCAAATGATAGCAATGAATAGGCTGTAGTTGTAAGAAAGATGCCTACCTATATTATAGTCGGTCTAAGAACAAAAAGTAATTATTTTTTAATTAATTTTTACGGCACAAATATAAAGCCAGTATTGACTAAATTAATATGAAAATAATTTAAAAATAAATCTAATAAATTCTTTGAAGCCTTTGTAAATTTTATAGCATATAGGTAGATTCCAAGATATAAAGATAGAGCAATATTCCACAAGAAATCTAGTCAAATAATATAAATAAGCCAAAGATTAAAAAATCGGACATGTTTTTTTCTTGCCGATGAGCAATATAATATGTATTATTAGAAATAAATGCTTTGTTTGTTGTATCTTTTACAGAAGAAAAAACAGAAGTTTAACTAGAATTAAACTATTTGAAAACGTGACAACGTGTGTTGCTAAGCCATTTTTAATGCAAAATGTGACAGAAAAAGAAATAAAGAAAGGAAAATCAAGCAGATACTTTATGGGGTTAGTTTTCATGACTGCTCTAGTTTTAAGGTACATAAAATACACATTGTATTGCATTAAAAACACCTTTCCTAATTCATTTTTATTTATCTAGTACTACATATGACAGTGGATTTGCAACAATAATGACTGTACCAAGGTATGAAAACCCTATAAATACAGTTGACGAGTTTGTTGCCAGTGGATTATCATGGGGTGCAACACAAGATGCTTGGATTTTCTCCATACAGGACGCTAAAGAAGTATAATATTTCCGAAATCAATTGAAAGTACTGGGACTCTTAACTCGCTTGTCCAGGCGATGTCGACAATGGCGATGACAAAGACAATGCCGAAATTAAGAGTCTCAATCTATTCTATATCCCGTACGACCAAAATGATTTCTGATTAAGCTTTGAAAGCTAAAAAAATCTAATACCATTTCCGATAAGAATAATTTACTTATCGTCATAGTACCCTTCACCATAAAACTTCTTTATCATATCGTAAAAAAAGGGTGAATTCCACAGTATAAACATAGTGTATTTGAACTAAACAATTCCTTAATGCATATTTTGCATCAAAAACATTATGAATTAAGTACTTGGTATGTAACACAAAATTAGAATAACTTGTGCTCAAGCAGTAAAAGAGCAAATGTTTAGAGATTTATTTTACAATAACGAAGTGGTGAAAAAAAATACTTGACAATATACAGAAAGAAATAGTAAGAGGGCTAATAAAAAATTCTGGATTTAACACGAATGATTAAGTATTTGAGACTCATTACCTTGTTTCATATTGTAGAAAAAATTGTTTCATCTTAAAAAATAAAAAAATAAATTATATTAATGTTACATTCCAAAATAATTTGAGTATTTCCGGATATACCAATTCCAAACCGATGACCGTCAAATGAGCGGTTCACTTCACAATTCGATTAACATTACTTTTGAAAAGTCTTAAATTTAAGAGTATATTCATTAATTAATCACACATACACACACTTTTTTCCAAACATTAAAGAAATAGTTTTCTGAAAAATGTTATAAATATAAAAATTTATGAATATATATGCCAAGTGGTTTTACACTTAAATTTAAGATTCTTTAAGAAGTGTATTTAATCGAACTGTGCAATAAAAGGCTTGAATATCAAGTCATTACAAATTTATTGTCTTTTTATACCGTGTGTTTGGTTTGGTTAGGTTAGGCTCTGAAAAATGGCTCACCTTTATAACTTTTTTATTTTTTTCAAATAAAAAACAAGATTTGATATGTTATTAGGATTGATTGGAAATTACTACAACTTTTGATTTTTAAATGACACCCTGGGTATATTTTTACTTTATTCGATAGAAAATGACACTCCGAATATAATGTCAAATCTTGACATTTTCCCATATGGTTTATTTGAAATTGTAACATGCGGTTCATAACGACAATTTGACTCGAAATACCAAGTGTGTGGTACCAAATTATTCGTAAAAAATGTTTTTTTACAAATTTGCTAAAAGCCACCCTCGTTTCATTTGAAAATATTGAGATATGATTAAAAATAGGCTTTGTGCATATTTTAACAGGCCAGGACAAGACACGTAAAACGTTAGATAATCAAATATATTTTTCCAAAGCCATGGCACTTTAGATTGAAATTTAAAATAAGATTTTTTTAAACAAAAAATGCCAAAACTCGACATGTAATATGTCATTGTCTATTGAATAAAGTAAAAACATATCAAGGATGCCATTTAAAAATTAAAAGTTGTAGTCATTTCTAAAGATACACGAAGTGACCGAAAGCAATTATGAAAAACGTCAATCAATCCTAATTTATGTCATAGGTATACTAACAACATACGTAAATCTCGTTATTTTATCGAAAAAAAATAAAAAAGTTATAGGGGTGAGAAACACCCGGTATATTAACTTAATTGGCCAAGTAACAAAAGGATTTCTTGATGAAAGATTCCATTTTTTAAGCTATATAAATATTTCTTTCAGAAAAAATATAAAACAATCGTTGAAAGATTTATAGCAACATCAGAACATGAATTAAGAAAATTGTCTCTGACTGATAATTTTGCTTTTTCATTAGAACGACTACCGCATGGTAAATCATGATTTGAATTATTTATATCTCACAAATATAATATATTATATTTCTTTTTAGACATTTTTGCTATAGGCTCTTATATAAAAGAGGACGTTATACAAAACTATCATTTAATGAGCGAAGATTTTTATTGGGAAGATTGTGTGGTAATGTTACGCAAAAATTCTGTGCTCTTGCCATACCTTGATGCCTTTGTATTAAGGGTTTTTGAAGCTGGGCTTATATCCTACTGGCAAAATGAAGTAAGTTTCCATAGTTATAATAGGTACCTACTATTTATAAAAAAATTGTGTGTGCACTATTTGAGCATATTTGAAGTGAAATTTCTTGAGGACTCCATTCGGCTATCTCTAATACGTGCCGAGTTTGGTTCCAATCGCCCCATTATTAGGAAAAGTCCTGATGATTTCGTCCATTTAGAGGCATCGGTTCGAAACATCGAGTGCGTAATCCTGTAGCCCGTCTTGCATTTTGCCGAAATCGATTCACCTTTTTCTTCAATATCAAATCCTTAGTCCCACCTTGATGAAGACTTAAACGAAATGTCGTATCCAACTTTGTAGGTGTGGGATCGTGTGAACCGTTGCTCATGTAACCTACCCACCAAATTTAGACATATCTTACGTCAAAACTAACTGTCACAGTGACACGTATCGTACATGATACATGGTCAAGTTTGCCTTGGTCCAATCTATCGACATACCAAATTTCATTTAAGTCACACGATATTTTTATTTGATTCATTGATGATGGGGTTTCGTATAGTGAACGTCGATGATGGTTTCGTAGAAACAAATATATGTATGTACAGGGTGGTCGGAATTGGTATGTTTTAACAGAGAAAACAAAACCGAGATAGATGTCATGGGCTCGATTTGTGAGATACGTTTAATGGCGTAAACCGCCTGTTGATATTTTTACTGCCAACAGAGATACTTTTTTCAATCATACTTTTTCACAATCTTTTTGATTTTTTTACCATTTTGAAAATTGTCCATAACTTTTATATTTTGCGGAAAAATAAAATTCTGTAAAAACGTTCTTAAGACACTTTTTAAGCACAATCCAGTGGCGTAGTCAGCTTTTTTTCTATGCTTGCTCTTTTTGTCAGAAATAATAAAAAATATAATTTTTTAACTGGAAATCATTCCCTTTCCAACGATATAAAGTTATGGGTAACTATTTCTAAGAATGAGAGAAATGTTAGGTTTTTTATCTTTAATTCGAAGCGGGCTTTGATTTTGTGTTGACCTATTTGCCTAATTATTTTTTCTCACAATTTAATATTCTATGTTATTATTTATCTGCATAATTAAATACTTTGGAAAAGGTAAATTTTTAATCTATTTATATATTATTAGTATTAGTAATTACAACTGAAATCAACACAATAAACAAAGAACAAAACTAAAGAAACGTATTTTTGGAGTGACAAATATGGTTTTCTAAAAAAATTCAAAGATGTTCAAACTGAGCACCCCCTTGCTGAATACACAATAAACATCATTTGCGCACAGAGTTGCAACGATTTATTAGGCAAACTGGTGTATTAAGTCCAAAAGCTTGCTTATAGTAGCCTTCTGCAATTCCTTCTCTCGTCCCAATGGTTCTTCCCTTATATATAAGGTTTTTTAATTTCCCTCATAAAAAAGTCGGAAGGAGTTTGGTTTGGTTTGGTTTGATCACCGAACCTAGTAGGCCAACATATGGGCCCCTTGTTCCAACCCAATTCTCTCTAAATTCTCCATTTAATAGTTCAGTTATAACCCTGGTGTTTTAATTGTAATTGGTAATACTAATATAGAATGCACACTGGCATTCACCAACTAATAGAATCATATCAATTCTTTCTGATGTAGGATAAGTTTGCATTTTCGGCAAATTTGTGAGAAATTTTTTTGTTTTCACTGAAACAAAATGATAACTAGTTGTTAAAGTTGGACCAATTAGACAGCTATGTTGAAGTAATGTGAGACACATCACAGCCACCTAGATTTTATCAACTAATAAACATCTACTCAGATCATATCTTGTAAATGAAAATATCTAGGAAAATCTTTGTTTGAGGGGTAGGCAGCCTTAATAGTATTTTGAAGAGACATGAATTTTCCATTGAATATCGGAATAATATACTGGATATCGGAATAATATACCATTTAAAATAAGAGAGTAATATGCTTTTAAAGGTGGTCAATGTTCAATATTAATTTTTTCTCACCCTGTATAACTTTTTGAATCAAGTTTTAATTTGATTTAAAGTACAATAGTTAATTTAACTACATATTAGGCTATACCGGGTAAATTCGAAATTAGGTAGCTTTTATTGTAATTTAAAAATTGTTCTTTATTTCTAGAAAATGTTAAATATGTCAAAAACCTTACATTTTGGTCATATACTTCTCTTATAAAACTCACCTTTATTTTTTTCACAGAATCTGAAAATCAATTAATATATAGGGTGTTCCATTACAAAAAATACAACTTTGATATGTAACTTTTTTTGGGGATACCCTGTAGAACTCTATATTTTTAAAAAGTGCTCTGAATTAACCTACATATGCTCACAAAATTCCATTTCAATACAAACTGTCGTTCTCCTTGGAGCCTCCGCGGCGTATGAGAGGCGCCACCCTGTATAATATCATGAAAAGATGGGGATTTTCGAGCCCCTTATGAGTTTGAGCCCCGTAGCTCGCATTGGGCCCGAGTTACGACGCTCCCAGATCGTTACCACTTTTCCTCTCGCAAGCTTGTGTGTCACGGCCTTCAATTTTTACTCCCATAGCGCGTAAAAAGGTTTCACTTCAAAAAGGTATTCGTTTCTTTAAATTTATTTTACTGATTTCTTCATAGAGTAACTTTAATAAATAAGGATTGTCACTGGATCGCTGGTTAAAAGTTGCAGATAAAATTGACAATATCTTTTTGTGTTGTTCTCACTAATTAAATAAGTCTTGGTTTGTTCTGTTCATGTTTTAGGCAGCAACCCTTTATTTGGACCAGACAGTTCAGAAAGCAGTGAAATATTACTTACATCATCAAAATAGACAGAATATTGTCAAACTAAAAATGATACACGTAGAAGGCGCATTTGGTATCTTATGCTTCGGATATCTCTTTGCTTCAGTTATATTTGTGTTGGAAATTATCTACTACAATTTTAGTAGATAAATAATGTAATAAATTATTTAGTTAATAATAAAAATAACGTCTGATGTCAAATTGTTTTTATTATAACCTTGGAGAAATTATTAATTATGAGTCATTAGTTTTAATAAGGTGTGCATCCATATTTATTTATCATTTACTTGTATAGAGTTTAAATTATTGATGGTCGTAATAACACTAAAGCAATAACATATTACATATTTGTAAATAAGTTAGAATTAAGTGGCAAAATTTTCGTTTAATATTCAAGTTCCATTCCATTATACAAGAGGACACGTTACAAAAATATAGAAAACAGAAATTTACATAAAAAAATCATAGCAAGCAAGGAAAAATATTTAACTTTGTTACTTCTATAGTTTCATTTATATATCTAGTGTGAAACAGGTCAATCTGCATATTTAAAATATTTACCGAGTTTTTATAGGAGATTGGGTAATAAGGTAAAAATAAGGCGCAACTGAAGGAATTGAAACAACGAATGAATTTTAAAAAGATGCCTCCATTCAAGGTTGCCTGTTTGGTGATCTAATAAATATTTTAGCAGCTTATATATTTGAAACATAAAAATTTGAAATTTGATGCAGTTACACATCTACCGTATGGTGCATCGGAACACGGAACATAGGAAGTCCCATGTGAATTTTGAAAAGGACAAATATTATCACCCCAGATAATTTTATGCAAAAGTGGTATTAGACTTTTTTGAAGAGGCCTTAGAGTTGTACTTTCATCTAGAAAATCGTTTTATTTGGAGTAGGCATTCAAAAGTTAGTAGTAGGCAGTCAAAATTTTATAATACGGCCCAGAGAAAGCTGCAATTAAAATACCAGCAAAAATATGATTCTGTCATTGTCAAATTCTTGCTTGGAAAAGACAATTAATTTTTATCTGAATTGAAATTATCATCTAAAAATTACTAGTTGACTGAAAATAGTATTCGCCGTGTATGACGGTGTATGTATGTATGTTTGCTGTTCATTAGGTACTCGATTACTCTCAGGCCTCGCTCATACCACCATACATCCACAATAAATTACAAAATAAAAGAAATAGTCCAGTCAGTGGGGTGTTTTATCATACAAAAGGTAGTAGTAATTTTTTTATATATTGTTAAGGTTTGGGTCTTGACATAAAATCCAAGTTTTTGGTCTTGAGGTGGGACCGCTCGAGCCACCATCTTGTATAGAAGGTACAGTGACGAAAAGTTGAACATATTTTCCAAAAAAGTAGAAAAACTCCCCAATTTTGTAATTTTTCCAAAATTCTTGCTATTTTTTACATAGGTATAAACAGCAGCGGCTGGTGAGGTAGTGCCACGGAGCGAAAAAAATATGTTATAACCTTCATATTGTCTCATCGAAATATAACGCACAACATAAAAAAAATCTGAAAAATAAGGTAGTGCCATGGCGATTTATTAGCGTTTTCTTTTCTTTGATGGTCCGGGTCGGTTATTAATAACGTTTTGAGTATTGTCTTCGGTGTCATCGTAATCGGTGCTTACGGGAATATATTGCTCTTCCATTGTTAAGTCTTGGTCATCTTCGTCCTCAATGTCGATGTGAACCTCCGGGACATTTTCGCATGACTGACCACTGCAGAACCACATACAACGAAACACTTCAACCCAGCTTTCCTGCAACCACATGCTGCGCCGCATCCTTTTCTACAAGTGCATGAAATGAATTTCAATAAGTTGTCGGGTGCTGCTTGTTTTGTCATGGTGAGTGGAACAAGCCCATTGCTGCCCAGTTTCCAGACCCAGTCTTCAGTTTTTTTCTCGATTGCATACCATTTCTGGACTTGATGATATGTCCTGAAAGAATGATACCGCGCAGCATCCTTCGTTGGTGGCAATGAAGCAAGATTGGATTTACTTTTTGTGGTTGATCTAGCAAAACGTTGGTAGCGGATTTCTTGGAAGGTCTTCCAAGTCGCCACCATACAAAGCAACGAGAAAGCGTGCTCCAGCATCCATACTTTATGAACTAATTTTTGTTTTTTTATTATTTTTGTTGTAATTGAAATAAGCAACAAATATTGTTGATTAGTTGTTAATACCATATAGCAGCAAATTATCTTAGTTGTTTTTGTTAAAGTTATTTAATAAAAATTAGTTCAGAAATGCGATATTGTGTTAATATATGTCCTTGGTCCAATTCATATGCGACTGGGCTCGTATTCTTGGGTCTACGTCACTTGGGCGAAAACAAGAAGGGCGTCAACAAAAAGATTGTAGGAAATTTCGTTATCTGCAAAATATTCTTCGCCCTTTTTGCCTCCGCCCAAATTATTACTCCACCCAAATTGTTCCGCCCTTTTTGCGATGTCCCGTTATACTTGATACATCGAAAAAATATCGATATCTAACTTTTATTCCAACATTTTGATCGTAAGATTAACCACTGCGGATATATTTTGAAAAATACAGTTTTTTGTATCTTTAATTCAAGATGGCGGCTAGAGCGGTCGCACCCCAAGGTCGAAAACTTGGATTTTTCATCAAGACCTAAACCTTAACAACATATTAAAAAATTACTACTACTCCACCTTTTCTATGCCAGAGGCCTATAATGGTCCCCCACTGATTGTACTAAAATATGTGTAACTAAAGGAACTTTATTATAAATAACTATACTAATTAATAAAATTTTCACTGCCAAACAATACCCGATATGATTGTAAAATTCACACTTCACAGGGACTTGTGCAGTACAGGTCCCCACGAATTCCCACGTGATTACTTAAAGGGTAATAAAGTTAGTATGATTTACTTACACAAAAAAAGCTTCTTGTTCTTTACATAACCACAATCACACCTAAACACATGTTTGAATGCGTTTGGGCATACATTAAAAAATATAAAATAAATATTGCGTTGAATAAATTTTTAAAAAAAGAAACTAAAAATTAAGATGTTCAAAAAATAAAGTTGATAATGGTATCCCAGATAATCTTCCTCTAGGAGATGCAAGACCTTGTGTTTGGTGAGGATGCTCCTATCAGACATTATAGGAGCCATATTTTGGTATTTTATAGAAACAATGAGGACATTGAGGCACTTTGGCTAGGTCTAAGAAGCATCTCACTATCTTGACCCTGGATGTAATGTCGTGGTCATGGCATTGTTGGCGTTACGAATACAAGCGACGCACGGGAAAAAAACCGTATTTTTAAATACGAACGATATTTCGCTCGAGCGATCGCTCAATTATTGAAATCGCTTGAAACTCGAGTACTCGATTATTGAAATTAATCGATTTTTCCCATCACTATAAACAACCTCATAAAAAACTAAATCTTACGATGGCGGGACCAAATTCAAAGGGATGGGTGGCTAGACAGAGACCTAGCCTATACTGGTCTCAACCTTGGGGAACCAGGGAGCAACCCATTCTATTCCCGTCTCACTTAATTCTACATGCGGGGCTCTGTAGAAGTGGACCGACTAACCCTTGCGGTATTCCAGCTTTGCCAGAACTCCAATATAAGGATATTGAATTGGTAAGTAATCAACTAAGGGAGGAGGGTTATGGTCAGGTCCTTACAATAGGAATTGACCTCAAATTCAAAAATGTAATAGATATATATCCTCTATTATAGAAAAAGATTATAGGTCCGGGATCCTCTATTATAGACCGGTATCAGGTCTAAGGAGAAACCAAGCTAATAAGGTGGAGACAATGGAGAATGATCCTCCATCTGAAAGGTACCACAGCCTTGTGGTGACGACGGTAAAAGGCACGGAGGGAAACCCCAACCGTGAAAGGGTGTATACCCTCGTAAGACATAGATGTCCACTAATCGGAGGATGAACAGCTGTTGTCAGAGAAGGATGTAAAATACCCTGTCCCCCCTAACAGAAAGATTTCCATGTATGATGAGTTATGACTCAAGAAAGGGAGAAACAATAGATCTTCAAATTCGCGGTGATTAACCTCCCTTCCACTCATTCTATATTGTACATCCCAAATAGTGGTATCTTAAGAAAATGAAACTTCAAAATTGAAATTAAATTCAGCCTTCATATGCCAAAAAAGTGACAAGAATAAGAGGAATTTTTAAAACTGAGGAAAAAACAAACAATCTGTTTTATAATTTCTTTTTTTCGAATATCTTGAAAGTATTTTTTTAATTTGAAAAAGGCATTTTATTATCAAAAAATTGAAAGTTACATGCTTTCCGACATTCTAGTAGGTTACGTTGGAATTTGTGACACCCTGTATAATAATACCATTAACTTTAAATCCTTCTCTACAATAAAAATTAAAACATTTGATAAAAGGTCTAATTACTGCATACATCATTTTTAATTTCCTATTTTTGAGTAAGGAAATATAACGATTTTCAAATATTTAACTTTCGCCCTTGTTAATCACATTCATTGCTATTTGTCTGCTTGTTTTACAAGGGGTTACTTATATATTTATAGCATTTTTTTGTAATATCAACATTTTAATACCGTAAGTAAAACAATCCATATATTATTTTAGTAGCATTTTGTACGTTTTGCTTAAAATAAATGTGTGTTATAATGTTATACCTCAGATATATCGATATTTTGCTAAGTATTATTTTGCAGAAATCTATCCTACCAACTCGATGTGTTACGTTGCTATCAAACAAAGTTTCTAATGTTATTAATGTACCTACAGGAATACCTATTGTAAATATTATGTTAAACGTTAATGTTAGTTCTAATATTGCTGAAAAAATATTTCGGAATTATAGATGCCAAACGTTTATATTAAACGTCAAATATCCTACACCGTTATTTTCAACCATCGAACAACAAATAAAGTATCAAAACGAAACATTAGCTAAAAGAAAATATATAATAATAAATACACCAGAATTCACTGAAAACATAACTGGATTATTTAAAACACGTGAAATTAATTTTGTCAATAATTTGCTAATGGTTTCTCTGAAATCACAATTATCCAAACAATCTGGAATTTTGGAAAAATACGAAGAGACGTATACATTATGGACACATC